AGTGATCGCTGAAGATATGGGTGCTGTGACAGTGTGGGGAGGAAAGCAGATGGTACACGGCTAATAGGGTAGTTTCTGGGATCTTAAAGGCTTGTCTTCAAACAAGTAGTCAACTAAGGGAAGCATCACCAACGTCCACACAGAGGAAGCACACCAGCCTGTGCGATCCAAGGATTTTAATTATAAAATCCAAATCGGGAGGAGGGAATGATATTAGACCTTAAATTGTGAACATTCAGTTAGCGGAAAGCTATGGGTGACAGTGAAAGCCCAGAACCCATTCCCAGGGTCCCTCATCCAGAGTAAGCCTCTGGTGAATCCCCTCTGATTACGGGCCAGGGATGGGAAAGGGCTTGTTATCAGAGTACACTGTAGGGTGGATGACTGCAGTTGCAGATAGGTCAAAATGTGACACCTTGTCATTTGAGCTCCCTAGCGATCCGTTATTTAATTGTTTCTGCTTTGTTTTCTACTGAGTTTTCCCTCTGTTTTGTTCTGGCATCATTGCTGGGCTACGTACTTCCTGGGTGCTTTGTTTTGATCTTGTACGTTTTCCTGTATATGAAATCCAGGATAGGTAAGCCTCCAGAGACAACAGCTGGACTAATAGTTCCAAAAGGACATGGCAGGGGAGGTTGGAGGGAAACGGTGAGCCAACAAGCAGCACAGGAAGAAGAAATACCCTGGGGTTGATAATGGTGTTAGTTGCACAACTCTTGTCATTGAACTAGTGAAATGCATGTCTGCTATGTGAATTGTATGTTGGTGAAACTGTTAAGAAGAAACAAATGAATTAACTAAAACAAAAGTCCCAAGAAGTCATCTTAAAGCCTAACTGTAATTTAGCTTAAGTAGCATAAAAGGTTGACCTTGAGCAGTATGCGCTTAGACACTATATGGGCTTGGGGGTAGGGCATCAGGTCAATTAGTTCAACACACTTCACGAAGACCATGCTCTACGTACTGCTTGGTGAGCAGCGACTAGAGTCCTAGGAACTTTCCAGCCTCCTTCTAAGCTGCAGATATTTATGTCTCCCTGTCCCAAACAAAGAAGAGTGGAGGGAAAAAAAAGGAAACAATTCGCCCACAGGCCTAAAAGGTATCACAAACCACCATCTCCATGCCCCTGAGACGGGAGCGGGGGAATGGGGTTGGGCTGCAGCTATCAGCTGCACAGGCGGGCGGGGGGGTGGGGGTGGGGGGTGGGGGTGGACACCACAATAGAAGATCCTGATCAAAGTGAGGAAAATGCAGAATGAAATTGAAAGTCATGAAAGAAGACCATCCTTACTGGTCTGGTCGAGATTGTTGGGACCCCTGAGACTGATCCTTCGACCCCCTCAGGCCTGGAATGGAAGCTACCCCATGATATCACCCCTTGGCCAAAGCACAGACAGGTCCATCCAATGACGCTGTGTTCCTCACACCCGTTAAGCACACACACAAGGCCAGGATGGCAGCGTTTGCCCCCAAACAAAGCTTTGGCTGGAAGGGGCAGGCAGACCGGAAGGATGAGATGGGATGGGGTCTGCCAGGAGTAAGTGGGGAGCACATTGAGGGGACCCCATTTAACGTTAAAAAACAAACGTGAATGGAAACTTGGGTGGAACACTAAGTTGCTCTGCACAGTCATCCACATCACTAATACGTGTGGAAGCTATTGAATCAATGTGTCTTACTGTGAATACTCTCAATGACAACAAAATAAAAAAAATTTTTTTTGGAAAACAATGGAGTGTAAGCACACACACACAAGGTTATAAGTAAAAAGATGTGTCACACAATCATAGAAGCCTTTAGTAAAACAAAAGCATCAAGCCGTGAAGACGCTGTTTCTCGACAGCCTCCCTAGAAGTGCGCCCATTTCTAAAGGGAAAAGTTCCACCTCTCCTGTTTCCCCGAAGTCTGTGTTTGATTCCACCACATCAAAGCGGAAGCTTTGGGGACTCAAATCCAGCCCTTTAAAAATGCGCTTTGGGTTTTCAGAACAAAAGGGAAACCCCAAAGGGCAAGATCAAGGTTGTAGCGGGGATGGGATCTGGTTCCCCCCCAAATTCTTACGTGACAGCTCTGTTCCCCACTGCCCTTGGAGAACGAGCAGCCACATAGCTGCGTTGAAAAAACTTCCTCAGCATAACTCTCCTGGCCTTTTCCTCACCAATACAGTTTCCCGTTTTCTTAAAAACTTTCTAACAAGCCTCAGTAATTATCCTGTGTCCTTCCAGAAAACCTCTCAAGATTCCAAAACCCAGGGCCGTGGAGTTGGTTCCAGCCTGTATCAACCCCGCAAAGGGTTTCCGCGGCTCTACATCTTTAGCCTCGTCTTTCTCCTGTGAAGAGCCTGGTGGGTTTGAACCGCTAACCTTGTAGCTGGCAGTCCAGCACTTCCCTGAGAGCACCGCCAGGCCTCCCATCAAGATGAATTCCTGCCCTGGGGTCACTTCTGGCCCCTGTCAAGATTGGCCCTTTGTAATCTAAAAACAGCTGCTGCTACTGCCTCTGAATTGAACTCTGCCTCCAGTGTAGCTGACCGAGCAGATCCCTGGGCAGCTCCTTGGATCTGTTTTAATTGCACCCTTTTTTTGGAAGGCACCCTAGCAGACTAAGACGTGTGTCGTGGAGAGAACTTGTCTGCTCTCATTCATGGATCCCAGAGACATGTTTAAATACCATTTCTGTGGAATCATAGACCTGTATCCGTCTTGTGTATTTATTCCTCAAAGTTTTCTAATTATTATTTTTTGCCATCCTGAATGGTGGGTTTTTTCACCCTTCAAGTGGCTCTGGCCATGGCGCTCAGCCCCTCCTGATCCTTGGCGTGATTGGCTACCTGCTGGGGAGTTGCAATGTGACTGTGTACCTGGGCTGTCTTGTTATGATCATGTGACCCATGATGTGCTGGCTGAGCAATCAGGACAGACTTGGTTAAGCTGCAGGCACCTACAGCGCCCACACCTCTCTGGCTCAAAACAGCAAAGATGTCTTTCCGCTTTTATAGCCACCGCTGGCTGCTCAGTGATCCGTGGGGCCCTGACTGATGGAGCGAGTCTTCTTATCCTGCCTTCCCAGGCGGGCAGGGGAGAGCTGGTGAGGCACACAGGAGTAGGGATGTGGGTAGGTAAGAGTAGATGCTACACCACCGGTCATGTCCCCGCAGGGCCAAGGGCCTAGTCCTTCCAACGCTGGGTGGCAGATTTGGAGAAAATGGGGACCTGTCAAATCAGTGGAAGGTACAATCCTCCACCGGGAGTGATAAACATCAAGGGCCATCTCACTGGTCAGAGGAGGTCTCTGGCCACACACAAGGGGCTGGGGAAGTCTAGCCCTGCCATGTTCCCAGAGAGAGCAGGAACTTTGTTAAGAGTCCTAAAGACTTCCCCAGTCTGCCCTAGTGGTCACCAAGTTCTCCTTTCTTTCTACATACAGAACACACTCCCACCTCCTCAAGGGAGAAAGTCCCAAGTCTTAGCTCCAAGTGGGCAGGGCACGACCTTTTTCAGGGTTTAGTGGGGGTTCTTTGAGATCTGAAGAGGTCTTACCCTGGCCTGGTGGATTTCCAGTGCCTCCCACCAAGCTGTCTCACAGGAGGAATCAGAGGTCCCAGGTGCATCTCTGGCATGATCTGATGTCCTGGTGAAGGTGTGTGCTTGGAGGGGTCTCAAGTCTGCAGCCCGGTGTGGGGTGACCTGTGCCCGTGGCCCTGTTGGGAGATGACTGGTGGTTTGGCATCTACTCTTACAAACCCACCAGCCTAACACAGTGTCTGTTGATGATGCTGAGATGCCTTTGCTTCTTTATTCATTTAATCATTTTATCGGGGGCTCGGACAACTCTTATCACCATCCATCCATCCATTGTGTCAAGCACATTTGTACATTTGTTGCCAT